GCAGAGGGGAGCCTGCAACCAGGAGGCTCTGCTCACCCTGTCCCCACTGGACAGAAGGACTGCTGGTTCAGGCTTTTCTAGTCTGAGGGGAGGGGCGTTCGGCTCCCCCAGAGCATAGAAGAGGGCTGTGCATAGGGGTGTCCCTTCACAGAGGACATTACTGGAAGGGGAGGAACCAAATGAGTAACTCCCTAGAGAAGGAGCTTGGCAGACTCTTTCTCAGCCAGGCGACCAAGGTCGACAGGGGGGTGGAGATGTCTGTCACCAGTTTAATTTGAAAACCGGACCCACAATGTGAAAATTGCGACCCCTGGCCAAGTCCCCTTCTCCTCATTAAAAGCCACTGGCCCTGTAACCTGGGCTCCTCGCCATGTCCTGCCAGTGCCCACTGGCAGCCAGGTCTCAGGGCATCCTTCTTACCACCCCATACACACTTCAGCCAGGTCTCAGGGCATCCTTCTTACCACCCCATGCACACTTCAGTTTCTGGTGGTCTCTGTAGACGTCCCACAGTCTAGTCAAGGCCAGTCATGTGTTCACTGGTGGCTGATGGGCAAGATGGTTCTTTCCAGGATGGCCATCTGGGCAACGTCAAATCAAGACTGAAATGCTAATGATGGCTTGCATGGCGAGAGGGGAGGCAAGAGCTAGTCTTAGAAATTTCTCAGTCACCACAGAAGCCCACCTCCCATTTGCACAAATGCAGGCTGACGATGGTTGTGGGTTGGGCATGTACTTTCCCATGTCATGCTTGCAAATTCAATATCCTTCCCTTTCTCCACTGTCGTGTGTGTCCAAGTGTGTATGTGTCAGTGTGGAGACTAAAGGACAACCAGGGTTATTGCTTTTGGGGCTTCTTCTATCATTATTATTGTTATTATTATTATCAGTAGTAGTAGTAACAGAGTCTCTCACTACCCTGGAACTTGCCAAGCGTCCTAGGCTGGCCAGCCAGAGAGACTCTGGGACTTGCCTGTTTTCATCTCTCCAGGGCTGAGATTGTAAATGCACAGCAGCACACTCGTTTTTTTTTTCCCCGAGTTCTAGGGTTCTCGGAGTTGAAGTCAGGTCCCCATGTTTGTGTCCCAAGTGCCGTCTCTTTCTACTCTCTTCTTGTGTTTTAAAGAGGAATTATAACATGTCTCCAAACTCCCTCATACCTACAGAACCCACCCTGGGTGCCTGGCCCTTCTCCGCAGGCATAGGCCTTAGCACTCAGGGCATGTTAGAAGCCCGTGAACATAAGTGATTTGTGGGAACTATTCCCACAGTGTGCTGTAGCGGGCTTCACTCTGCATTCGTCTCAGGAACAGACGGAATCTATGTGATGGACAGGGGCTCTTGTGAGATGGTTTATTTGCCGTTCACACTGGTTTTGGTACTGGAGTTACAGAAGAAAGCTGCAGTACAAAGAAGATCCAATGGCTTTGGGCTGCCCTGCTGTGCTTGAGCCCCCAGGAGAGAAGCTGGCTCACCATGTGAGTGCAGTGGCCAGTGGCAATGCAGTGCTTGCTTTCCTGGGCTACCGAGAAGGGTTCTGGAACATTCTCTCTTCTCGTGTGCCTTCAGATGTGAGCCTGACGGAGCCCCTTAGGAGGTGTTCTGTATGTGAGTGTCAGGGAGAAAGAGGCTAAAGCTGTGGTTTTAGGACGCCTGTGACCACATCTAATGGTCGCCACAGGAGCGAGCCTTAGTTGGCTGGAGAGCTGCATTTTCTGAGCTGTCCTCACACGTGTGCTTTGCCGTCATTTCAACTAGGAAGTATTTATTTATTTATTTATTCCCATTGATCTTTGTAGATCCAGGGCAACAGAAAAATCCAACAGTTCATTTGTAGATTTTTCTTTTTTCTTTCTTTCATTTCTTTTTTTTTTGCACACTCATTCCTCCTAGAACATAAAGTGAATTTAAGAAGTTGGAACCATGCCGTTTATTAGCTGCTTATAAAAGTGAGCAAGAAGTAGCTTGTTTTTTTCTGAAAGTCTAAAATAAACAAGCAGAGAGAAGCGTTTTTCTTCTACAATATTCAGCGAACATAAGAAAAGGTCCTTAGAAACGCACACAAAAATGAAAAAAAAAGATATTACAGGCATTACCAATATTTTATAAGGAAACTTGAAATCTATTTACATACATAAATACAATTGAGTTTATTGATACAGCTTCTTTGGAAGGAGAAAATAAAAGACACACGATCAGCTTTGCCAATACTGACCCGGCGGAAAGAGGGAAGGCACCCCAACAAATTACCAACCGACTAACCCCCCCAATAAATGTATACTATAAAGTCAACAAAGGCATTTTGTTCAGGTGTGGAAAAAATATATTCTGAGATTGTTGTCAACTCATTTATTTTCATGTATAAAAGACCCTAAACATCTCATGCCCCCCAACAAAATTAAAAGAACAACAACAACCAAAAAAACAAAAAACAAAACTATCAAAACCAAAAAATACCTAGGACTGAATGTCCCAGGAAAAAGGTATTTCAAGAAAAAAAATCTGCAATCATCAACTGCAGGCCTTTGGAGGGAAACCGCTTCTCTCTTGCCTGTCTGAGCATGCTTGTTGCACTGGTGCTTGGGCAGAAGTGCAGCCACTCAGCCATGGGCTGTGAGTTTTGGAGCTTTCCGCTGCCGAATCTGGACAGCAAGCAGATCCAGGGCAGCTGGCAACGCCTCTGTTCTGTTGGAAGAAACATGTGAGCAAGGGAACGGCGGACTCACCCTGTGCTTTATGCAAACGGAGTGCTGGATCACCTGTGTTCTGGAACACTTGGTATGGGGTGGTGTGTGTGTGTGTGTGTGTGTGTGTGTGTGTGTGTGAGAGAGAGAGGGGGGGGGAGGGAACAGCAGCCTCACCCTGTTCTTTATGCAAACGGAGTTCTGGATCACCTGTGTTCTGGAACACTTGGTATGGGGTAGTGTGTGGGGTGTGTGTGTGTGTGTGTGTGGGTGCGCGCGCGCTTGCGTGCGCGCGCATGTGATGGCTCCTTCAAAAGTATGCAGGAGCGAGGAGGTGGGATTTGGAGGAGGGAGGAAAAAAGAGAGAAGAGATATTGGAGAACATGGAGGGTGAGAAAAACAGAAGGAACTGAAATGTGTGTTAAAATCCTAAATAGGGGCCGGAAGAAGCAGTAGAAATGGCTTATTCCAGCTTTCTTTTCCTGGACCAGTACCCCAACAGCCCCACTTATCTCAGAACTGGCTTTCAGTCTTACTGAAGACAGTGAAGGAAGCCACCCTGATGTACCTGAAAGCAATGAACATAATTTCTCAGAAGAGTATGTGCCGTGTGGAATCTTAGCTCCAAGACAATGAGTGCCGGACTGCTTTTTTCTTTCTTTCGTTCTTTCTTTTCTGAAATGACTAAATCCTGTGTATGCTGGTAAGGGTTGAGGAAGCACTGAATGGCTAACCAGGCCATCTACAACAACAACAAAAAAAAAAAAATGAGAAGCTGATGCATGGTTTCCGGGGCAAAGATTCCAAGTGTGAGGTTATCTGGTCCCTCTCATAGGGCTAGAGTATCTTCAGGTATCAGAATTAACAAGAGAAAATACAAATCTTCTTCCTTTGTCTTTCCCCAGGATTTTCTTAGGCCAGATATGGCAACCTATTCTAAGAGGAACATCTACTTCTGGAGAAATAAAGTAATGGTCCTTTTCAGAACGTGCTGTGGGCCAGCGGTGCAGCTGAGTAGTGGGGGAGCTATGCCCGCTGGGAAAATCTAATCGCCTTTCTCCGAGATCTCCTGCAGTTCTTCTCCAGACAGGGACAGCCTGCTAGCACAGGCTAGCCTCTTACCAAAGTGCTGTGCTCCATGGAAAACAAAGAATCAATATATATATATATATTTATAGATATAGATAATTCAAAAACAAGTTGTATTTTTAAATAAGTCCAGCTGTTTTCGCTGCCTGCAGCCAAAGATCTAATCTGAATGCTTAAATTTATAAAATAATAATAAAAAAATCCAACACTGTTCTGAAGTCCTGCTTTCAAACGCTCCTCGGAATTGACCTGACATCATTTCAACTAATTCAAGAGGTACATTAAAAACAACCAGATCAGTTTGAACACACAAATGTCAAAATCAGCAGTTAGGGTTTATATGTTGTAGAACGACTGAATTTTGACCAAGTCCTCCACTATAACGAGAGTGCCATTACATTTACAGTGACTGTGGTATCTGTTTGAACCATAGCATGGACTGCAGAGACACGAATCTTTCTTATCATGCTGATGCACAGAAAAAGTGCACAGACCCCAAAAGTTAGGGGCTCAGCCTGCTGGAAGCAACTCGGAGACGCTGGTGAGCAAGCAGCTTCCCGTAAGCATCCTGCACTGGTTGACAGGGTGTCTCCCACAACTGGCTCCTTCAGGCTTTTGGAGTACACACTCTTAAAACTCAGCCACTGGGCCTCAAAGGCACTATTACCCCTTCTATTTTGATCTTTGGGGTGCAGCCACAAGTTTTGGTTTTCGTCAATGAACAGGAACTAGTAGTGGAAGTTAGAGGATCATATTTGCTGATTTGGGGTCTGCCAGCTTGCCTGAATGAACTCCCTTATAAAGCATGCCTGAATCAGAAGGCCTTCGGGCAAGCATACCTCCAGGCCAAAATAAAATCCTCTTCAGATCTAAAATCACTGGCACCTCTCTGAACCCTTTGGGAGTTTTGCCTTTCTTTTTGAAGGGGAGGAGCCGGGTATGAGGCCCTTTGTTGAGCCTGGCAGAAAATTTTGTACTTCTGATCCTTGGAGTGACCCCCAGTGTCTAAAATCGGATTGAAAACATTGCTGCATTAGCTACCAACTTGTTTGAAAAACATAAAAGGGATTTAATGTAAACAGTATCTCTAGGTAACCAAGCCACCACAACCCACCCTTTGTTTTTCTCTCCAGCCATCATCAACGCAATAACATTTAACTTTGGCTATTATAAAGGAAAATGTAGTACTTGATATTTTTCTTAATATAAGTACATTTAAATAATTAAAAAAGTATCAACACATATGCAAATGTTCAAACATCGAGATACATAAATATCTAGGGATTTCTTTGTGGAAATACAGTAGTTAAAAAATGACCCAAAGTTGTAGCTGTATCTTTAAAAAAAAAAAAAGACAAAACAAACAAAAAACAAGAAAAACAGCCCAAAATCCCAGCTACAAGAAAGTCCAAAAGTTAAATAAAACGTAGAGAAGGGAACCGTATTTCTTTCAGTTGGTCAAAGGAAGAGAGTAGCAAGCACAGATCTATACATATTTAAAAATAACGACCACCCAGTTGCAAACACACATTTTTTGCAATTGATAAGGTGCGGAAAAGTAACTCCGAAATAAGAAATAATTGCCAAACTGGATGAGCTATGTCTTCCCCGCCCCGAACCAAAAAAATTCCACACTTTTTGGAATAAACAACGTGGTTAAAAAGTGAAGTCAAGGGTATAAAATCTTTCTTTTTATTCACAGCATTGCTAAATCAGAAGCATTCACAGTTTCCCTCCGGGAATCTTCCTGTTGGCCTCCAAGGGCCCTCCTGGCGGGGGTCTGTGTGTGGACGGCAGGTGCAGCTGGGCTCAGTCCCTCGAAGGCGCTCAGTAGGGCCGCCACACCGCCTCCTCCAGGCGCGCGGGTGGCATGTTGGTGGGCGAGTTGCTGTGGCTGCCCTCGGTCTCCACCACGTCGCTCTGGCTGGGGAGGCTGGGGTTGAGCAGCGCGGCGCCCGTGGACGCGTTGGTGCAGGGCGGCAGGATGCGCGGGGGCGAGCGCTCGCCGCCCACCATGGAGAACTGGTAGGAGCCGGCGGAGGTGCCGTAGTACAGGTGGTAGGAGGGCGAGCTGGTCTGGAAGGGCCCGGCCTGGGCCTGCGACGAGCCTGGGTAGGGCGGCGGCAAGTAGGTGTGGTAGCGAGAGGCAGAGCTCATGGCTGACATGCCGATGCCGATGCCCGACGTGACAGGCGGCGAATAGGTGAAGGCGCCAGGGTAGTGCATGCGCGGGTCGGAGATGGAAGGCAGCGTGGGGAACTGGCGTGGGTCGCCGAAGGCTGTCAGGTCCGGGGCCGCTGTGGGTGGGTGGAAGAGATGGCGTGAGTCTGTGGTCTGAGAGGCGAAGGCCTCCCTCTCTGCCAGAGAACACAGGATTGCCCAGAGAGCTCCTGCCCATGGAGGGGGGGATGACAACACTGAGATGGATATTTACCCAGAGGGCTGTTGCTACCTGGCAAGAAGTGGATTTGGCCCAGCATGCTGTCATAGTGAGTGACGGCAGACGTTTTGTAGGGAATCGTGCCGTGGCCTATGATATGCATCGTGACATGGCGTAGCATATGCATTTCGTAAGTACCGAAATGCCTCACACCTGGTAGTGCAATGTAATGCTTACAGTGTGCATGCATGTTAGACTCCCAGGTTGGCGAACTGTAGCCCATCAGTCAAAACTGACTGGAGGGAGCTTTGTGTGTCCCAGGAATTAAAAACGGGTTCAACTTTTTCAAATGGTTGTAAAACTGTTAAAACAAACACACAGTTTTTTTTTTTTGCTTTTTGAGACACAGCCTCAGCCTGTAGCACAGGGTGGCCCTGTGAATCCTTTTGTGGTGCCAAGTATCTCCCACTGTCCTTACGTAACCATGACAACAGAGCTCTAAAAGCTTGCCCATTTCTCTGTGGCCCTTCGCTGAAAAAACAAGCCTATCTTCTATTTATCTTAAAATATGAATATTGATTAATATATTGGTAATATAATCAGTATATTGGCATAACAACATTATTATAGCAATATATAATGAGACAACATTACGGTAATTGAGGTAACGGATGCAGGTCTATGTTACTAATAGGATATAAATATGACAGTGGTATTATGTCGTTATACACAGTATTCAGGCTGGATAATAGAAAACTGCCATTTTCTTAGGCTCTGACCCCTTGGAAATTGGCTAACTTCCTGTTATTTGACTTAATGCATGCTGTGGTGGTGATGATGTTGGTGATTGGCATGTCACTTGTCTCCACGTCTAGCTTCTGACTGGTTCCACATCTGTGTACAATGCACACACGATGTCATGTCTTTAAGACTTTGCCTCACCGTTTTCTTTTTGATTATACTTATGCGTGTCTGGGCATGTGCACGTGTGAACGTAGTGTCCACAGAAGCCGGAAGAGGGTGCCAAGTCCCGGGGAGCTGGCGTTACCCATGGGTCTGAGCCACCCTGCCTGGGAGCTGGGAATCAAACTCAGGTCCTCCGAAAGAGCAGAGTGTGCTCTTACCCACCCAGCCATCTCTCCAGCTGCAGCTTCGCTAGTTAGTTTGTCTGTTTCACACAAATGGAGAGAACTTGTTGTACCAGACTTTTGTGCACGCTGAGATCTTGTCAGAAATGACAAACCTTGCGTACAAGATTCATTTTGTGGGGAATGAATCTACACCTCTACAGACTACCACTGGCTGTCCTCCTGTGGTTCGCTGCACCCCGCCGCCCTTTGCTCCTGTACATGCTGCTGCGGGCCAGCATGGCTTCCCTTGAAGATCAATTTACATTAGTAGCGCTGCTGGCATTTTTGCCCATATCATTCCTAGTGGGTGCTTGGCTTCTGATTTATTCCTTGTGAGTTGTTTGGCAGCTTCTAGGTCCTTTATCCTCTGGATGCCAGTGGTATCCCCCACCGTGACATCCAAAAATATCTCCAGACATTGTCGATAACCTGGGAATGGGTGTAGGGGTGAACATTCGCACCCCCCCCCCGCTAAGAGCCCCTGCTGTGAATAGGAGGGTGTTGTGGGTAGCTTGTGTCCCCTGGAACGAGAGTTCTCATATCCGCCCCTCCCGAAGACACCAACAAAACAGCAGAGGCAAGAACTAAACACTCAGAATGTTAACTTCTCAAATGAACTTACAGGATAACTTTAAGCTCTGGGGGCATGTGGTCTGGGCCCTTTTGAGCTGAGCCTGCTAGGAAGAAACTTAAGGGGGCTGGAGAGCTTCCTCTGAAAGGATTAATCCGTTTGTGGAAGACGCTGGCTGTGATCAACTTCCTTCTATTCCAAGCCTATTATTCCAGCGCGAGAGCTGCCTTTCTTGTTTCTCCCTCTCCCTCCCTCTCTCTCAGTAATCTTTATTGCTCTAACAGAGTTTTACAAAAGGAACTCTTGTGTACATTTGGGGTGAATGTGAGGGAAATAGGCTCCTCATCAGAGAGGTAATTAGAGTTTATGGAAACAGCCAGAGTCTGCAGCAAACCCCGCTGCTAATGAGGAAACCAGGAGTCTGATTTTCAAACAAACACTCCTGCTAATGTTTTCAGAGCGAGTCAGACATGTGGGCAGGGAAAAGGCTGTAAGCTGACAGTGGTTCTGGGGCTGCCGGGGCTCGGCTGGCTGCCCTTTAGCGTCTTCTACAGCCAGGCCACACCTCATTCCACAGGGTTCATCCCTGCCCCCTTGCTGTGGCCAAGTGGGAGCAGGCTCAATGTCACTTGTTTTGCTTACACAGAGAGCCGCGACATGTTTGAGAGTTAACAGGAAGCTTCCCTCCATGTTTTCCTCCAGTTAGATTTATACAGCCTAGAGAGAAGCCAGCCGAGGCCGGAGGGAGGGCGTTAGACAAACACAATCAATTTGTTGTCATCCTGATGCAATACTCTGGACACAAACAAATGACTCTGCCCATTATCCCTCTTGCTTCATTTGCCCTGAGACAAAAAGGTGAATCCACTGGAAAAAATGAATGAAAGGTCACACCGTTTCACAGCCATGCCTGAACATGCTCTGCCGGTCCCTTCCAGTTACCACAGGGCAATGTGGGGATGGTACCAAGTTACTGGAATCCTGCGTGAGCCTGTGATTTGTCATGGGCCCAGCAGAGGGGTGATGTTACCGCCTCAGCTGTTGGGGCAGAGTAGCTGAAGATCTGAGATTACTGGTGCTATCTTTCTACACAAGGTCAAGTTCTCCCCCCTCACCCCCGTCCTCCCTGCATCCCTCCCTGTCTCATTTTTTTTTTTTTTTTTGGTTTTTCGAGACAGGGTTTCTCTGTGGCTTTGTAACCTGTCCTGGAACTAGGCTGGTCTCGAACTCACAGAGATCCTCCTGCCTCTGCCTCCCGAGTGCTGGGATTAAAGGCGTGCGCCACCATCGCCCGGCTTCCTTGTCTCATTTTTCAGTTTGTAATCATTGGGGAAAAAAGACTTAGGCCCTTTAGATATGCTCAAATTCAAATGCTTGTTTTCATTTACAAATGTTATTTTCAGTTATGTAATGGGTGTATTTTGGTGTGTGTGTGTGTGTGCACGTGCGTGTGTGTGCGTGCACACGCACACAAGAGCGCTATGCTTCTGGATACTGGAGGAAGAAGTCAGATACCCTGGAGCTGGAATTATGGGTAGCTGTGTGCCAGCTCATGTGGGGCCCGGGAACTGAACTCATATCTCCTGGAAGAGAAGCGGAGGCTCTTAACCACTGAGCCAGCTCTCCGGTTCTCCTTGTTCTCATTTTCCAATCTGGTTTGTCCTCTCTTCTTACAAATCAGCAGTCACGGAATCTGCCCACCATCACACTATGGCTCTTCTATCCTTTTGGCTGGCCTTCCCCACTTGAGGAGCTAAGGTGACTGTGCCTCCTCCCCAGGAGGAAGGTCTGAGCATTAGAAGGCTCAGGTGCTTTCACTGGAAGTGAAAGTTTTCACGGGATGGCGCTAACTATCCACCATGGTGGAGCTAGTCTGGGCTCTCCAGCCTGACAGGGACAAAGCAGCCCACTCCAGGCCCCTCCCACAGCCCCCAAAGGATTAAACAACCTGAGCAGATAATGGCTGCCTTAAAAGGATCTTCTGCATGACTCAGATTAATGCTGTCTGTCGCCCAGGTTGGCAGCTAAACATTAATTAACAAAAAGAAAAAGAAGTGGAGGAAAAAGAAGGAAAAGAAAGGTAAACCCTCACGTGACAGCTCCTGCCAGACAAGGTGTGCAGTCTGTGTGCAAGGAACAGGGACAGACAGAGTGTACTGGAGAGGGAGGCCGGGTGGGGCTGGATGGGCTGGGTGTAGCCGAAGCCCACAGAGCGGTCAAGTTTCCAGAGCTGTGGGCCTGGAGCTGCTTCCTCCCATGGATCCCAGCCTTCTCCTGCCCCAGGTTTACCACAGCACTTCCTAAGCCTGCAAGACCTGCTCTCAGGGCTTCATTTCCAGAGGGAGCTTTGCCAAGCTGAAGCTCACTCTCCTGCGCCTGTTCCCTGCCGCTCATGAGAGCCTGTTTGTCATCTGTGCTCTTCCCTACGGGGCAGCAGAGGTCACTTTTGGGTCCTGAAATGGCTTTTCTCTCTCTCACATTCCCGTACCATAAGCACCCTTCTTTCTAGCTGGTGTTGTTGAGTCCCTATCATTAGGAACATAGTTGTGTTGTGGCCCTCTCCTATTTTAGCCGATGGTGGCCTTGGCTGATAGATTACCCAGGCCGTAATGAATGACCCCACACACCCATGGACAGTGCCGCCTGGACTTGATCAATTAAAAACAAGTTAAAAATGTTTAAAAGACATGAAGTTTAGAGGGAGATGCTATGCGGGAGCCAAGGGGAGGCATGGGCAAGCTGACATGATCAAATGTGTCCCATACATGCCTGCTGTTCTCCAAGATTAAAAGGAAAGCGTTAAGAGCCAGTCTGGCATGTGATCATGTGATCGCTGGTCAGCTGGTGGAGCTGGACCTAGGTGCACACTTGGGGTGGTGACCAAGCTGAAAGACTTATGCAACACATTTCAAGGAACAGACCTACACTGGGGACATTTCCAAGGAAAGCATTAAGTGTTTTAGATGCGGGCTGTGGCCAGCGGACAGAGCAGCGTCACTGACAGGAATTTGGGAGAGCCGACAGATGCTCCTGGAATCCAAGTGTCCCTGAGGGGACAGGCTTTTAGACACAGCCAGCTGAGCAAATGCCACAATTCCTATGTTACCCTCTTAATTCCTTAGACCATCGGCACCCGTGCAAGTGTTGGCACGGATGGCTTGAAGTCAGGTGAGAGTGGAGAGAGGAAGCTGGCTTTCGTAGCTCAATCAAGAGCCAGGGGCGGGTGAGGTTCAAGGTGCTCACTGCCCCCAGCTGGCACAAGTGGAGACATTTTGTGCATGTGTGTGTGTGTGTGTGTGTTCATTTATGGGTACCCCTATGTACAGGCACTTGTGCATGTGTGTGTACATGTGTGTGCAGAGACCAGCGGCGGCCTTGGGTTTTGTTCTTCAGCAGGGGTCCAAGTAGTCTTTTGAGGCAGGGCCTCTCCTTGGCCTGGAGCCCTGTGATTAAACTCCATGTCCCTAGTGCTAGAAACCTGTGACACCACACTTTGCTTTTATACCTGTGTTCTGAAGAGTCATACTTGGTCCCCATGTTTGCAAGGCAGGGGCTTTACCCAGAGAGTCCTGGAGATTTCTGATGGACATGCTGGGACATTTTCTACTGGCACCTCGAGGTCAAGGATACTTCTAGCTAATGTTTGGTGCATAGGACAGTTCTGCCCCCAATAAAACATGATGCAGCCCAAATGCCAGTACCCCCAATACCATTGCTGGGGGCGGGAGAGACAGGCTACAGTAGCCGGGTGAGTCGGGGTGATTTGTGATGGAGACTCTGACCCCCTGGTAGAACCTTAAGCAACTGTGGTGGTTGTCTGCAGTCTTTCACAACATTGAAGGCGGCCGTCCTGACTCCTCTGCCTTTCTGCCTGCCCACTCACCTGTTCTAATCTGCCTTCGAGGGCCCCAAAGCAAAACCCGCCCCCCTCCACCACACATACAAGTGCACTGCAGGCCTCTTAAGGGTGAAGGGCTCTCATGTATTTCACAGTTTGGTTCAGCTCCAATTTCAAAGCCCCGAACAGTAAGTTTCTTCTTTAGCCTTCAACAAAGGAGTTTTTCCTGTAACTCTGATTTCCCTGCCCAGGAGCAAGGGTGAGTGCCAAGCCCCAAGGGCTCATAGGTTAAATGACTAATATTTAATGAGCTCGTATTAACAACAATTATGCTAACCATGACACCTGAGCTCTCCACCTTGTTCCTAACCCTCAGTCTGAACAGCCCTTAGCTGGCAATGTTTATCTTGGGGCATATTTGTTCCCTATTCCGAAGTGTACCATTGTGCTGTTCGCAGGAACCTGTGACAGCTCACCACGGCTGGGGAGCGCAGCCATGGGCTAGCAGTCAGCTGGGAGGCACACAATCCTGACTTAGGCCGCTTTGCCTTTCCAGAATAGTAGTCCCTGGCCACCACCCTTCCCCAGCAGAAATGAGCAAACCCTAAATACGGAAGAGATGGACGGAGACACCTGTCTCCTCACTCCTCTGTCTCCTCATCCGCTGCCTCTTCTCATGTCAGGAACAGTCAGTGCTAGGCATGGCAACCGTGCAGAGGTGGGTGACTTTGTCTTTGAACCCTGTTCTGCTCTGGATCCAGCCCGCTCCTTCCCTTTGTCTCCTATACGCTTCCAAACCTTCCCCTCCAGACCCCTTGCAGATACGTTCTCAAGCGGCTTACTTGAAAGTCGACTGGAGAGTTCCGCAGAGAGGCTTGTCATGCCACTGGCACGGCCAGGTGAGATGGGCGTTGCCGGGTGCACAGAAGAGGAGGTGATGGATCCCAGGTACTGGTAAGACTGATCATAGGACCACGGTGGGGATGGCTGGATCTGCCTTGCATCTGCAGAGAGACAGGTGTGTTGGTGACAGATGGAGTGGGGTGGTGTCTTAAAATGAAAAGGTCTTATAATGATAATTAGTCACCATTATTTAAATGATTACACATGTATGCACATAGCTTGTTCATAGAATCCAAGTATTTGATGCCCCTGTGATATGGTGGCTCCCCTTAAAGAGGAGCAGTTCATGTGGGATTTTAGATATTTATTTCATATTGCTTCCTTCTAGAGGCATAACATTGCAGATTATACTCAATGACTTTAGGGCCCAAACATGACCTAACAGCACAGCAGGGCCGGAGGGAAGTAGAACCAACAGGCTGTCCTGCACCTCACGTTATCCTAAATGTCTTGCTCCAAGTATGTGTGTGGGACACCCAAAATCCATACACTCAAATATTTCCTGCAAGGCATGCTTATATTCTCACTACACACACTTACCAAATGAACACATACTATTCAGATATTTTAAACACTTAAAAAGCAAACGAAAGAGGTTCTAGAACGATCATAAAGGCCTCCAGGGTGCGAGCTGTGGTGTAGTAATCCGCTGTGCAGACATCCTAGCACCCCCTAGCCCCACGTCTGAAACGACACGAAGCATCAAGTGTTATGCCGTGATTCATGGTCCGTCATGCTTTACTGCGGCGAGAAGAGTCAGGCCGGGCCTTTCTAACCTCATAACTAAGCTGTGCAACATTGCATAATATTTCATAGCCTTTTAAAATATGCTCTGGAAAATGACCTTTACGATTCGAGCCCAGGTTCTGTGTTTTCTTTGTTGCTGCTGTTGTTCTTTTAAACACAGGCTGTAGATATGGCATCATCTTACTTCCCACTGTGGTTCAGTGAGGACGGCACCGCATTACACATGCGGAAGCCGTCAGCCCATCAGCCCTCATTTCTTCCACCACAAGGAACCTCCGTGGGTCCTTTGCCAGTGGTGGGCCAGCAGGTGGTGGCCATGAGCCTCTCCGAGGAATTTTGGGTTGTTTTCAGTCTTTTGTTTGAGCCCCAAAAAAACCCAACAAAGCAAAAGCAAACAACAACAACAACAACAACAACAACAAAGACGTGACAATACAGTGTTCTTCTGTGTTTGTGCGAGAGGTCTCTGTCCTTTGCTCTGATGGGAGTGGAAGTGGGGCCACCATGAACACAGGAAGGCCAAAATTGAAATAGCCATGTTGTTAGTTGCCTCACAGGATAAAAAAAAAATGAGCGCCAGGCCCATCTGTCGGATCAAACCGTCATACTCCTCTCTGGAGTGAGATGATCGCTAAAAACCATCCGGTGGCGGCAGGTCAGGGTCCTGGCTCAAATAAGTCTAGCTCAGAATTTCTCTGTTTAACTTATGTGTTGTGAGAGTCAGGGAAGAATCAGGTGGGGGTTGTAAATTGAAGTGTGGTGCTTATGATCCTGACGGGGTGGATGCTGGGAAGTGCTAGCAGGGATTCAGTGGGAATTATCCAGAAAAGGCCTCAGCCTGAGAGAGCATCACCGTCAAGCATTCCACAAAGCCCAGGTGAGATGCTCTTCTTGAACGAGCTGCTTTGGGTAAGTCCATCCATCAAAGCAAACACAAGCTGATTCAGCACGAGTTGTGTGCCGGGCATGTGATAATGTGGCCAGTCATGGCGGTGAAGAGGCGCAATGCCCCTGCCATGCTGGGATTTATCAGGGCAAAGCTTCCAAGTGCAATGCTTGGAAAGGCTCCTTCCTCATGCACTTGTCAGCACACGGAGAATTTCTCCATCCATCCATCCATCCATCCATCCATTAGTCTATCCGTCCATCCACCCATCCATTCATTCAACATTTGCATATTCATCGGCTGGTGGAATTACTCACTGGTTCTGTCATTTATGTCTCCACACACAGTTTTGTCGCTGGGGCCCCTGGGGTAGGGACTCACTAGTAAATGGTTTTACGTTCTCTACCTTCTAAGAGGTCCAGCCACTGGAAGGGCAAGAAGCCATAGAGACCGAGTGCTAACTTGCATGCCTAATTTGGACTTGCAAATGGCTGCTTCCAAGGCAGAGGGAGAATGACAGTGGTGTTTGTGCTGTGCTGCTGTGCTTACATTCTGCACTGGAGAGGAGCAGAATGGGAAGGCATTGAGCATACGTCGAACAGATTTGGGGTTGAATTCTGCCTTTGCTGGAAACTAGCTTCAGCAGATCTCATCTTCTCCTGTCTGTCAAGGGTAGTATCAAGGAAGAAGCAAGCTACAGGAAAAGAGACATGTCATGCTGTGTGGCCATTGTAAATGCTCAGTCAGCCTGATTGACTTCCATGATTGTATTATTGCTAAAGGAAATGCAGTCCCGAGGTGTAGCTGATGCTTGGTGGGAAAGGCAACGCCTACTTGCACTGAGGTGGGGCCCAGGCAATACTGCTCTGCTTGGGGTTGAGCATCTTGAGAAGAGCTAGGCTCTGGGTATTAAATGGTGAGTGAGGAAGGACGCTAGAATTCTGTGATAAAGTGAATGCGGGAATTCAATATTTCAATCAATTCATGCTTCTGTTTTTAAAAGTTCTAGATCAGAAAATTTAAACTTGGACTTTTTAATATGTTGGTAGTTTCTGTATGCTCATGTTTTCGATGAGAATACATGACCAAGGTCATTGCAAATATGGATAAGAGGGGCTCCCTCTCTCAATCCTGAACCTCACCCCCTTCCATCTGAAATGGAGGTGAAAGACAAGGGAGAAGTAGGGAGACAGAGCAAAGGAACATGGTGTATTTCACTCAGGAAAAGAACGTTTTTAAGGCAACAACATCAGAATGTCTTCAGTGTCTGTCATGACCTGTAAAATAATTCATATCAGAGTGGCTGCCTTCTCCCACTTTCAGCACCAATGTGTAAAGAGCTGAAGAGCTACCATTCTTGTCCTTAGAACAAGGAAAATGGTGAACAGAAAATCTCTGACCTTTCTGGATCTCCCAGGGAATTCTGGCAGTATAGCAGGCCCAAAGTCTGGGAAGGAAGCAAGCACAAAAGACCACACCAAGGAGACAGAAGCCAATGGGAGCACATCGTGGGGACATCACAATGCTGAAAGCTGAATAGAGACGGATAGGAGAATACAAATCTGGAGAGCTACAGTGCTGCCCAGAAGGGATGTGCTGTGGTCCAGGGACTCCACTGGGTTCTCACAGAATCCCATCTCACTGTGGACTATTGATGGAAGGGCTGTAAGGAGCAGAATAGGATAGAGAGTTCACGGGAAGCTAAAGACCACAAGGACTCGAGAGGGGTGGGACTCCTATAGTTACACTAATTCACCCTCACCCAACCCCTGCCCGGATAATAGAAAACTCACACCAGAGGTCTGGCTGTGTTAGCTCATGCTATGGATGCACCATGCTCAACTCTGAACACATTACAAGATAGGGAAGAAATGTATGGCCCAGAAAGACAAAGTGAGCGAGAAAACTCAGATGTGACACAGAGAAGGAATTTAAAATGGAAATTGTAAGAAAGTCTCAAAAGAAATTCAGGAAATAAAAAAGAGAAACAGGAAATATCTTTTATGAGGTTATTAGTAGGCAAGCCATGGCCGAGGGAAGTCAGTGAACTTGAAAATATGTCAATACCAACTTGTCGAACTAGAAGGGAAAGAGAGAGAGAGCATGTATGCGCACGCACATACACACACACACACACACACACACACACACACACACACACAGATGAGAGAGAGAGAGTTGGCAAGCAAGAGAGAGATTAAATAAATAAATAAATAAATGTAAATGTTGTGAAAAGTAGTAACATATAACAAGTATCAAATAACGTTATTTGATTGTGGACTTAGTTTTTAAACACTGGAACAATCACTAAAGCATGTTTTAAAAGATTTCATTGATTGATTGACTGATTGACTTTACGTCTATGGGTGTTCAGCTACATGCATATCTGTGTTCCTCGTACATGCAGTGCCTAAGGAGGCTAGAGGAGGGTGTCAGATTCCCCTGGGACTGGAGTTAGCAGACAGTCATTAGCCACTAGTGGGTGCTAGGAATCAAACTGGGGTCCACTGGAAGAGCCAGTGCTTTCAGTCTCTGACCCATCTCTCGAGCCCCCCTAAAGGAATGTTTTAAAAGTATACTTGCTATGTGAATAGGTGAGCTACAGTGAAATCATAAAATGTTCAGTCATGGCGAGAGGAGACAAAAGCAGGGGGCGGGGCGAAGAACCACGTGCAGCAGATGTACAAGTGAAACTACGGCAGATAATAATCCAGCTCTATCTATAAACAGTTGAGATGTGTGAATTGCCTGCATCCACCGCAGAAGCTGTCGGAGCAAGCTACAAATAAAACTTAACTACCTGACGCATACAAATGGCTCATTTAAATACAGACTCAGGCCGGGTGAAAGGGGTGGAGAGAAATTATGCTAACATCAATTCAAAGAGTGCCCGACTTGCTGTATTAGTTTTCTACAAAGCTAATTGAAGATGGAGATTTTCAAGGATAAGAGGTGAGTTACACGATGATAATATGGCCAACTAATAATACGTATTCCTTAGCAGGTAGCCAGTGAGCACAGTGTCAAGTCCTCAGGCAAAGACTAACTGAAATGCAAGGAAAAGCAGACAAATCCATCATTCTGGCTGGAGACCTCAACATCCCTCCTCTATACCGACACACCATGCAAACAGAAGTCAGAACTCCGCCGACCTGGACAGTATCACCTTGACCTAACTAACATCTGTAGGCTATTCTTCGGAAGCCCACATGTACACTCCCCGAGACGGACTACATTGGGGGTCATAAAATGCTGCTTGATCTTTAGGGCATAATCATACAAAATGTTATCTTAGGCCACAAAGACTTAAAGTAAAACCAAACGGCCCCTTCCCTGCAAACAAAATACAAAAACCAGTAACAGAAAGATTATTAGGAAATCTTCAGAAATTGGAGGTTATCTATAAATGCCATAGGGGCCAAATAAAAGATCTCAAAAATATTTATACTACTTGTCACTTAATGAAAA